TTCATTAAAATGTATTTTTATTGTTTGCTATCGCAAAAAAAGTACAAATAACTATCTTTCTGAGGGAATCAATAAATAAACTTCTCTACCTTCTTAAACAGAGGTTAGTAGACATAATTTAAATGTCTCTTAGATGTCTGAACATCTATATAATAAACTGATTTTTTTCACAGAGGAATATCATACAGTGAATGAATTAAATTTACTTGTACCACATGAATGAAAGAATGTTGAGGGAGGAAAAACCTGTAAAAGGATCCTTAATAGTATTATACTGTCTATGTAAAGATTTTAAACACAAATACATTATATATATATACTAGAGGCCCGATGCACAAAATTCGTGCAAGAGTAGGCCTTCCTCCCCCTGGCTGCTGGCACCGATTTGCCTCTGGAACCTGGGACCCGGGATTCCATCAGGCCACTGGCAGGCACCTGGGACCCAGGTTCCCTTGCAGCCCCGACTTCATCCGGAAGGACAACCAGTCTAAATAGCATATTACGCTTTTATTATTATAGATACATATAAAATTTATATCCTATCTAATAATAGACAAACATTAATTAACCATACCTCTGCTATGCTTCCCATTGGCTAATCAGGGTGATATGCAAATTAACTGCCAACCAAGATGGCGGCCGGCAGCCAGGCAGCTGAAGCGAACAGGAGGCTTGCTTGCTCCAGTGATGGAGAAAGCCAAGGTTCCCCGCCTGCCGCGACTGGGCTCTGAGCTGCACTCTAAGCAACAATGTTGCAATTATAGAAGCTAAACAAACCCCAGATACCTGCATTCAGCCAGCCGGCCTCGGAGCTGGAGCCACAACAAAGTTTCAATTACAGAAGGTAAATAAATCCCAGAATTAAAAAAAAAAAAAAGGAGAGACTGGGAGCTTCAATTGCAGGCTTGGCCCGCCTGAAAACAGCCATAAGCCCCTCATCCAGGCTGGCCAGGCACCCCAGTGGGGATCCCCACCCTGAGGGGGTGCGGGCAGCCTGAAAACAGCCATCAGCCCCTCATCCAGGCTGGCCAGGCACCCCAGTGGGGATCCCCACCCTGAAGGGGGTGCAGGCAGCCTGAAAACAGCTCTCAGCCCCTCATCCAGGCAGGCCAGGCACCCCAGTGGGGACCCCCACCCTGAAGGGGGTGCGGGCAGCCTAAAAACAGCCATCAGCCCCTCATGTAGGCTGGCCAGGCACCCCAGTGAGGACCCCCACCCTGAAGGGGGTGCAGGCAGCCTGCAAACAGCCATCAGCCCCTCACCCAGGCTGGCCAGGCACCCCAGTGGGGACCCCCACCCTGAATGGGTGTGACCAGCCTGCAAACACCCATCAGCCCCTCACCCAGCCTGGCCAGGCACCACAGCGGGACACGCCCCCCGATCCGGGACACCATTCAGGGCAAACAAGCCAGCCCCCACCTGTGCACCAGGCCTCCATCCTATATAGTAAAAGGGTAATATGCAAACTGACCCTAACAGCAGAATGACTGGGAATGACTGGTCACTATGACACACACTGACTACCAGGGGGCAGACGCTCAATGCAGGAGCTGCCCTCTGGTGGTCAGTGAGCTCCCACATGGAGGAGCTCTGCTCAGCCACAGTCAGGCTGATGGCTGCCAGTACAGCGGTGGTGGTGAGAGCCTCTCCTGCCTCCTCAGCAGCGCTAAGGATGTCCGACTGCAGCTTAGGTCTGCTCCCCACTGGCAAGTGGACATCCCCTGATGGCTGCCGGGCTGCCATAGGGATGTCTGATTGCCAGCTTACGCCCATTCCCCTGGGGAGCAGGCCTCAGCCAGCAGATGGTCATCCCCCGAGGGGTCCCAGACTGTGAGAGGGCAC